CCTACCTCTTGCCATCAAAGGTGGCAGTGGCTTAATTGCAGTAAGATGAGCTGTCCCTTTAAAAGGGAAAAAAATCCTTTCTGCTTTGCATTTCCAGTCATTACTGCCAAAAGGAGCTTCCAGTCCTCACCTGACCTGCCACGGAGCCTTTCCATGCGGGACCCAACGGGCACTTTGTGTGCTTATCATTGGGTTACCTCTGGTTAGGCCTTCTGGGATTAGGATAGAATTTTCACAGGATTTTAAAGCAAGATTATCAAGTCTGTCTACTCAAAGTCTTTCATGAAGTGATTATTAAGACCTGGCGATAACCTCCAGTCTTATATAGGCTCCGAAGATAATCATCTTCGTCAAGAGAAATCAAGTAAGTTGATATTAACTATTCCACATCTCAGTGGTTTCATGTGTACTTGGAGGGAACCTTTTCAACTGGGCTGTTAATGCTCCCCGGGAATGTCGCAAATGTGATGTGGTTTTATTACATGATTGCTTAAATTGGCATACAATAAATCTGAACTAAAAATGTAGTTGTAGCAATGTAATGAAGCGTGTAATTGTAACATGAGCATGTTTTCATATTAACATTTCTTGATATTCACGAATATTTCTTTAGACCTGGTGTATCATGGTGTGCTTAAAATGAGAGATGACCTTTAGATGTTGGAACTGTATGAAGGTAAGGAAATTAATTCTCAAGGACTTTCCTTTTTTTATTTCTTTGGTCTCTTAACTTCTGTTCTGCTCTGTTTAGCATGAAGACATAGGAAAACTACTCAATATCTGCACTCTGTACAGGAAAAATGAAAACAATTCAAACTTCATGATTATCTGCCACATCAAATGAAGCATAGCTAATAAACATGTTGGTTTAAGATTGTTGCTAATCCAGAATAAAAAAGAGGTATTTAACAAGAGGTCTTCATGAGTGTATAAAGGTAATCTGAACTGGATTAAAATCTCCAGTTCAGCAGTTCAGGGAACTCTGGATTAACCGTTCTGAGTAAATTGAATTCCACTAATATTGTTCAGCTTAAAATAAACACAAGAGGAGGATTATCATATGCAGTGGAAGTGAGGGAGAATTTGTAACTAAAGGCTTGACCTCCAGCCTGTGTCAGATAAATATTTGGAAGGAAAATATTCACCGAGGGTCACTTTATGGGACGGTTGTGTGGCACCTGAACCTTTAGTGCCTGTGAATCTCACTATGTTTTGAAATGGCAATTGTTAGTGATTTTGAGCTGGAGTACAATGAGGGTTTCATGTTTGCCATCTGGGCATGTATTTTAGTCATCACAGTAGTATCACTTATGCTGGCAAACAAAAGAGATACAGTTACAAAGTAATAAAGACTTGCCTCTGATAGATAAAAATTAGATATCAGTTAACCAGAGTAATGCAAACATGATGTGTATCGTAAGAGTTAATATTACTAATACCCACATTGCTGAGAGATAGGGTATTTCAGGCAGCAGTTCTATGAGTATTTGTCACAGATGGCTTTGAAATTTAATTGGACAGCATAAATATGCAGAGAGGTAATGCTGGGAAAAGATTTTGGAAAGCAGCTAAAACTTAACACTTCAAATTTAAATCAGTCTCTACCTATTGAGGGGTAAGGCAGTCAGTCCTTTCTAGAGCGATGTTCCTAGTGTTGAGGTTTCTCTGAGATTTCTTTTTAAGCGTCTTGTACTGGCCAGGGAACATCACAGTGCTAGATCTGACACTCAGGCAAAACAAGCCCTCCCATGAATGGAGGATTTTCCATCATTTTATACCAACGTTATTTAATATTTCTTTGCTAGAAGTAGAACAAGGTTTGGCTTATTATGATCCATCCTTCCAGGTTATGTCTGCATGTTGTCCCAATCATTAGATGTTTTTTTGATTGAGTCTGTAGCATGTAACCACACCTCGATTAAATGTGGGATGTTATGGCCATGCTAGTGCCTGCTCTGAATCCCTGCTGCAAATCAGCATCATATGTGGAGAGAATTGTGTGTGTTGGTTAGCGTGGAGGAGCAGCTCTGTGGAGAGGAGAGCAGGGAGCTGCAAGTTCAGGTGAGTGAGAAAGCATCTCTCAATGTGCATGGGATGCTTCCAAGCACAGCTTTGTATCTCACTCTCTTTCTATTTTGTTTCTGCTTTTACAGCTCTTTTTTTCTTCTTTCTCTATCCCCTAAAGTGCTTTAGTAAGATAGTTCCTTGATTTTTCAATCTTATTGCACCTTTTCTCTCTCTTGGGAACGTGCTCTTCCTTGCCCCTGCCCTAGCGTGCTGCATGGGCAGCTCTGTCAGATTGTTTTCCCCATCCTGCCACAATGAACAGCTCTGGGCAGGTTTAAATAAATCGGTAATGAAGTTAGATCCCTGATAGGAAATTATCTACGGTCTATCAACCCTTTTACTTGTGAACCTTTGTAGAACAGCTGTGCTTGCACATCAGGCTGTGAAATACTCTTGCTGACACCAAAGATTTTAGTGTTAGTCCAAGTGTTATTCACTCATGACCCAGGAGAGCCCACGTTCCTCAAAGCAGGTCCTGGAAATCAAGTCTCCCTGCTCTGGCACGAGCACTGACCATCAACCTGTAGGGCCAGACTGAAAACGGGGCAGGGGATGCCCTCTTCTCCCACCGCCAAGGTCTGGGTCGCTCACTTGCCATGCAGCCAAAATCCTTGTGAAGGGCAGGGCTTTTTTGCCAGTCTGGGCTGCAGAGACCCTCCAGCCAACCAGCCTTATACCACAGGGACAGTACGGTGGCAGCACTGCTGTTGGCCATGTTTCATGTTGATGTCCCTTGGGCTGGTGTGCACAGAGACAGCACTGGCCATGCAGCCCGATCACACCCTGTGTGCAGGGAACGGGTCATGAGGAACACACTGAGGGAGAGCTCTGTGGCCCATAAACACTGGACTGTCATCGCGAAGCACGGCTCATCGTAACGTAGATCTTCCAGAGCCAAGGAGGCAGTCGTTTCTCATGGTACAGGAATAAAAATTCATTAAGTTCTATTAAAAAAACAGCAAATCAGCCCACTGCTGACCTCAAACACACAACCCAACAGCTCCCCCTTGACAGGACACTTAACTGACTAGGTGCACCAGCCACTGTAGACTTCCTGCTCCAAAACATATGTAGTTACAAACCTCCCCTCAACATGATCATCCCATTCCACAACCTCAACTGTCCCAGAGCCTGCTCTCCCCACCAGCCACCTCCCCACACCTTTGCAAAGCACCAGTTCTTCATATTCAGCGTCACCGAGGAGTATCTCTCAGTAATTCCTCTCCATTACATGCAGTCAAACCAAAGAGGGGAAAAAAAAAAAAAATTGAGCAGAAGCTAGAGGCATGAATTACTTTTATACCTACCTCAGTGCAGACTACATCATCACTGCTCCCCTTATGTCAGCATGTTAGCAGGCTTGAGCTGCCATGCTACAGCCTGCGCTAACTACAGAGTCCATAGATCCATAGAAAAAGCTGTTACAGGTCCCAATAAGCTTTGTAATACTGGACGGTGGAAGCAGGGATGGCCTTGCCCAGGTGTCAGGCCCTGTGATTCTCTCATGCCAGCAATACACTCATGGTCTGTAGTCTAGCTGTTGGTCAGATCCCAAATATTGTTGCAAGGAGAGCCAAGCTGAGGATATTTGATGCTAGGCTGGTCCACAGGACACTGGAATCTGTCCGTGCGTAATTAGTCCAGCTCAGAGAAAGGTGATGGAGCATGAACTCTGGGGAGTGAGATTTGGCCAGCTTTCTCTCTGCCTCAGCCCTGCTCTTCTGCACATGCCGTGCAGAAACTGTGGATGAGTATAGGCTTGGGGTCAAGTAAAAAAAATTAGGCAGATGGACTGAATAGATAGGATGTACTACCTAAAAATCTTCTCAGAGCTTTGTTTGAATTAGCAGAGCTGGTACGTAAATGCTTTTGACTCATCAGATGAGCAAACAAGACATTTCAAACACAGAAATGCTTGGTATCATAGAATCATCCCAAGGAAGAGACTCTTAGAACTGCTAAGTACAAATTAGCTATTTTCAGAATGTGATAATTCTCTAGTGAATTAAATATGAGAAAGATTACATTATTATCACGATGATAATAATTTGTTAATCAAACATTATTATCTTCAAGATAATGGTTTGCTGTGTACTCACAAGATTAGGTACTCTGAGAGGATATGAAAAAAATTTTTGGACTTTTTTTGTTAATTTTCATACGCTCCTTCATTTTCTGACAACTACAGAGCTGTTTCACATGTTCCGATATTACAAAAATGGGGGAACATGTAAAGAAGCAAGGACTTTCTTTTTTTCCAACCACCTCTAATTAAATCTTTGAAACCTGAAACGCAGCTCATTGTCTGAAAGACAGAGCACCGTTAACCCCTCCCAAGCAACTAGTCAAGGCAGCACAGGACACAGCTTGGTGACAATAATTAACTATAGAATAATTAACTATAGAATAATTAACTATAGAAATACAAGACTAGGGATGACTGGGCAAGCAACATTTCTGCAGAAAAGGAGCTCAGTTGATATCTGGTCTGAAATTGAACATAAGTAAATTTTATCTTGTTTCAACAAAAAGGGTTTAGGCATCTGATGTGTCAGTGTCCTTTGGGCACAGGTCATCCTGCCAGAGAAGAGGATTGTGTAGACGACCTTACCAAGTCCTGCCAAAGCCACAATTATGTAGGACTCAAAAATCAAGAGTTACATACTGAACTCATGACACACACATACACAGAAAATACTGACTGTGCGATTTCTGATTCTTTGCCATTTACATCACCAAATCTTTTCTCTACATCCCAGAGAGCTAATATTTGTCTCATGGTCACATCATTCTGGCACAAGGGTTGGACAAAAATCGCACAATACCACAAACTTTAACACCACCAAAATAGTATTTCTTTCTCCTAGAGCAGCTGAAACTGCTGGAAGTCAGAGTCCACAATGCAGTGGTTCTGCTGGCATGTGCCAGCGAAGATGAGCCTGGGATTTCTGTGTCTCTTTCTGGTTTGCCACACAGGTAAGGACAGTGGTTTGGTGCTCCCCAGGGAATAATCCAAGTGTCTCTTTCCCAATTGCTCCCATAGCAATTCCCACAACTGTGTCAGGCTTGTTTCTTTCACCCTGAGTGGGCAAGGCTGATGGGCTGGAGCTCCAGGGCTGGTGCCATACAGCAGGGCAGACCAGATGATGGCAAAGGTCTACTCTTGGCTCCCATGCCATAAATCTGGAGTCAGAAGGGTTTATATGGAAAGAGAGAGAAGGGTTAGAAGAGATCCTGCCACCTCGACTGTCAGTCCAAATTTAGCTCATATTAAGTGAGAGTTGTTGATACAGCTGACTAGCACCATATGAGGAGTCGCGATTTACAGGCCTTGTACCATGGATTCTCTATAGGGTATTTTTCCTTTATATATATATATAAAGAGAGAAGGAGAAAGAGAAATATATCCAGAGATTGTCTTCTGTACAAGGCATAGATTTTTGTATGAATAAGGACAAGCACTTAGGTTTCACCAATGTAGGTACAAACAGCCAGATCATGCAGTCACATCTCCTCTTTCTTCTGCTGCTTCCAGTCCTACAGATTTCCTCTTGCTGAAGAGGAAATTGAACTCAGGTTTCCTACTCCCTGGTGAGACCTCTGCCCATTAGGTTATAACACAGAAGGGGGCATTACCACTGAGGTAAGCCCTCCTCACCACCAGCTCCCAGGAGAAGACCTCTCTCTGGGGAGCTTGGGTGGACTGAGAAGCTGAAGCTTCAGAGGCATATGGGAGTTTAGCATTTGCTAGGACTGGTTCCTTTGGGGAGCCTTATGGATTACTCTTTGGAGGCACTCAGCTCTCTGCTGATGAGATAGGGAGCCTAAGCACCAAACTCCTGCGCTTCAACTTGTCCTGTGATGTCTAAATCGTTGCTCTGCACCTTGCCTTTGTTGGTCACCGAGGGAATCCCAGGAATCGAGTCTAATCTCCTGAGCCCAGCTCCAGTTCATTCCTCCCACAACACAGCTCTTGAGAACAGTACTCAATTGAATGACTGCTCTGAATAACAAACATGCACACAGCCTGTGAAGATTTGTTTAGATTTGGCTTTACTATATTACATACCTTACAGTCAATATTGTGTGCAAGCCTAGTGCAAACCTCTACAACAGCTTGCTACTGTTTTTTTTTCTTTTGATTCTTGAGCTAAGGGAGCACGCTCTGATACTTTGTCCATTTTCTTTCTTTAGCTGGCAGCTAAAGGACCTGGCAAGTCCTTTAGGACATACTTATTCTTAGGCACTTGATCAACTGCTGTTGTGAATACTCAGTGGCCTGCTTTGCAGTGCTAATGTCCATTGGTTTCTGAACTAAAATGAGTGAAAGCAGCAAAGTAACCCAGGCAGAGAGCTCAACAGCGAGTTGCTTGGTAGCTCAACAGGGAAAACCGTTTCTCAGGAAAAACTGTTTCTCAGTCTCTTTCTTCACTTCACAGCTTCATGCATAAGAAGAGAAAATAAGAAAGAGAAGCAAGTGGCAGTGCTAGCTACCGCAGGTAACAAGCAGCACGTCAGGAGACCTGTGTGGGGGTGTTAATGGGAGTGGGAGGTGTTGTGCTGGACACGGAGGTGGTGGCAGATGGGCCCTTCTCCTGCAGAGTCTGTGAGCCCCAACCCACCACTGCTGCAAGGGCTCCTCACCCAACACAGGGCTTACCCAGGTCCCCGGCCAGTTTAACCTCCATCCTTCCAGGAATCTAAAATGTTGTTTTCTCTTTTTCCTTCCTCTCTTTCCCAGCTCTCCATTCCCTTTTGTTTTCCCTTTCCTCTCTTCTACACTGTGGACAAGCCCTGCTCCCAGCCCTTGGTTTCGAATTGCTTAAAAATAATACTGATGTCATTGGAAAATTGTATTTCTCCCTGAATTTGATTTTGTTCTCATCTCGGCTTTCTGTGCTTCTTTTTCCGTCCTGCTCTGTTTTTTCTCTCTCTGTCATGCACACACAGATCTTCCTCCTCGCACACATGCAGAGATACCATACTGCTCTGCTTCTGCACGACTTCGTGGGAGGGAAGCAAAAGAACATCTTCGGAAATTTTGACTAGGGAAAAACAAATAAGCAACATGCACAGAAAGAAAACATGTTAAAATAAAAAGTGTGATTCAGCTACAGTCAATTTATTCTGTCGTAGCAGTATAGCCATCAAGGTAGCTGGAAGAAAAAAAAAAATCTGCATTTTCATCCCGGTTCTATGTAGCACTGGGGAGGGGGGAATATTTCCCAGGCACTTTCTCCTCCGTTTGCGATCTGCAAAGAGAGATCTGCTGCCATTTCGGCAGTGAATGCTCGTTGCCCAGCACGAGAGGGCACCAGCACCTCAGGGCTGGCTGGGCTCCCTGGCAGCCTGCTCAAGGGCCTGCTCAAGGGAATAGGCAACATCGAGCCTGACCTAAAGTTTGGCCTACCACCGCACTGCCCACTTTATCTTGTTATTTTCCAGACTCCTCGCCGCATTCCTGGCATCTTTATTTTCTCACCCCAGGTTTTTCAGTGCACCCCGATACATAATCTGCTCATTTTGCTTTTCTCATTCTGGAAGCTTTTTGCCACACACAAGCAGGGGATTAGCGGCCATTTCCTTAAACCCTCGTGCAGCCAGCTGCTCAGAGACCCCTTCTTTTTCAGAGCTGCCCGCAAAGTCCGTGGATCTGGCGGCTCTTAACCTGACGGAGCTGGTGAACGGTATGCTGAACACAGCGCTCAGAGGTAACGTGACAAGGCCGGGCAGGTCACGCAGGCTGTCAGCCCGGCGGTGAATGAGATAAAGGACTAACCGTGTTAGCAGGAGAAGCCATAAATGCCTCCAGAATTGATTCTAGGAGCAAGTTACCTTTGTGCATTTATAATGCAGATAGCTGTCTGCCCCAAAGAATTTAGAAATTAGTGTGTGTTTATATATAGACACAACATAATTACTTATGGGATGCCTTTAGAAAGCACTTTACAATCCAGTGTAGGTTTAAATTAAAAAAATATAAAAAAAGAAGTAATACAAATGATCCTTCCCTCAGTGGAAATGAGAAAGAATTGAGTCTCAGGCAGCTGTATAGTATCAGCACCTCAGGAGTCTTTTAGAAATTAAATGAGCAGAGTCAAAACATGCTGTTCTCATAATTTGTTCCCACCGCTAATAGCATGGGCATGTGTTTCTGCAGGTACCAAAAAACTCTTCTCTTTGCTGAGCGTCACGTCTCACAGCTCATTTGCCTTCCACAAAGTGTCAGTCACCATTTATAACAGTGAGTGTCTCGGCGCTTTGCTCTGCGCTGGAGCATTTTCTCTCACACAGCCTGCGCATCAAGATACTGATTTTTCTCCATCTCTCCTTACAGCTTCTACTGTGAAAAATATTGACCCTGGCAAGTTCCCTATGCATTACTGCTACTGTTTGAACAATGTGACAAATGACTTGACAGGTGGGTACACAAGAGAGGTTGGCAATTGCATGTGCTTAAGCTGAATTATTTCCTTTGGGGCTGAAAGCTGTAGCCTGAATTCTGCAGGCTTCATCCTTAGGAGAATCATCGCCATACTGAGGTCAACAGCCATTACTCACAACGAGTGGCTGCTCTGAACCTTGGGGGATACTCGGTGAACTCAGTCTCAGATGGCTGCACCCGCCCAGCTAGTCCGGAATGGAGCCATCAATCAAGTGACCAGCATGGTTTACCCAGCAGAAAGACCTCCCTTTCCTCCTCGGAGTACAAAGAGCAGCACAGGAGAGACAACCCAGCAATGTATGATACATTACCTTAGCCACTTTCACTTTCGTGAGATAACCCACAGGAGATGAACAAGGGCTTCTCTGCACCAATAGACTCAACTTCAATGAGTCCAACAGGAGTGAAAAGCAAGGATTAACGTCTTCATAGAGCTGTTTAATGGAGTGTAAAATACTGTTGGGCAAATCCTTCACCTATAATCCTCATTCACACCCCTGATCTCACAGTATTTAACATTCCAGGATGGGCCTGAGTGCTCTAATTCTACGGCTGGTTAATGTAAGAAATCAAGAGTAGCTCAGCAGCTAGGGACCAGAACCCATACCCTCTAAGCCGCATGTGATGACCACACACGAGAGCCACAACGGCTTACATAGCTTTTTCTGGACCCACACATCTCACAAGCCTTATTGCATAATGACCCACTCTGCCTTGGAGGATAACAGAGAAACTGTGATCTTTCTGCCCCAAATCCATCTTCCCAAGTAGTAGAAATTGAGTGCCCAACACAGGGCTCGTGTCTGTCGCTCTCTAAGTAAGAACACTGACCTGTTACTACTAGAACCTGCTATGAAAAAGTCATAACACCACCACCACGAGCCATTTTTTGAGCTGAGCACATCATCGTCAGTATGTCTGAAGTAGACCTCATAGGAGACAATCAGATGCCTCCTGGAAGGTCCTACATGGCAGATAGGCAGTTAGTGCAGGCAAAGCCTACAAGCTTTGGTTTTCCTTCTACGTTTAAGCTCTGCTTCTACGTTTAAGCAGACTAAGTAGAGTGTTACTTTAAATTGTTCTCTTGAACAGATAAATTCCATTTAAGTTTACTTTTAGGCACTTGGTGTTATTTTGGATATCATCTTTGAAATATACTTCTGCAGAGTATTCCAGTGGCTTCTTAAGTCCACTCCCATTCGGCAGAAACACTTTGAACTTTAAAATATTTTAAAAATTGTTACGTACAAGCATATATCCATCCCAAATATGATCACATATGAAAGTGATTTTTTTAACTCAGCATAGATGATAGAATATGTGTTTTCAATCATAAACTTTCTCTATTTTATTGTCTAGATTTTACAGCTTTACTTGTTGATATTATTGGAAACTCCACCAGTTATCTCACAGAAATTTTCAAATCCACTTCTATTCTCTCAGGTTTGCATTTCATTTTAACATTTATCATTGTCTTATTTGTCTGATTTACTCCTGGCATGGAAAGAAGTACAGAAATGTGTATAAAAGCCTATTGCTCTTACTCAGCAGCATTTTTCTAGCAAAGCATAGACTGCAGTTGTAAACAAAGTCTCCTTAGAAGAACGAGATACATATATAATGTGTATATATATAATATAGAGACATGCATATTTCTATGAGCAGCTATGTTTTGTTTGAAAGTTTGGTGAATTATTATTAAATGTTGGTATTTTGGGGAATTATGATTCCCAAAGAATAATTATGAGCTATATTATCTGAAGAAATTTTTTTTCCATGTAAAAATGCTTGTAATTTAGAATTTTAATTAGATAGAGACATTTCCCCTGGAAATATTAGCATTTGGATTTGGAGCTGGTTCAAGGATTTTGTCAAAAGTCAGATCAGAAGGAAAATATTTGGCCAGTTGTAGTAGTCACATACCATTTTGTGTTTGTGTTTTCAACTGTTTAAGATAATATCATATAATGAAAACTGATCAATGATCTCTTTTACATTTTTTTGCCTTTCAGTGCGTCAGAGCAATGATTCAGACTGTATCTACATCTGTGTGATGACAGGGCAGACAGGTAAACGTTAAAACTATTCCACCCCAAAATATTACCCTATTTACTCTTGGTGACGACTTATACTAGGAACAAGCCTTTCTTGATATTTGTAAGCATTTCTATTTGCAGGAAGAAATCTGTCTGACTTTTGGGAAATGCTGGAGAAGTCTCCTGTTATTAATTACACATTTTCCAGCAACACATCTTCTGACCTGAGTAAGTACATCCCGGGGAATAAAAGGAAACAGCAACAACAATGAAAACCACGTCCAGGTAGCACTTGCAATGAATACTCCATCTTCGTCATGTAAAAATATTTTTTAAATATTATTTAACATTT